GAGTGAAGAAGCAAGGACTCGAATCATTTTAGAGAAGAGAGCAGACTGATTATAGTAACACAAAAGCACCCAACTGATACTCCCATTTGTGAAACAATATTTACTTGTTGTTAGGTAAGGTCAAGTTGGTTCCTACTCATAGTGACCTTATGCTAAATAGAGTAAAACACTGCCTGGCCTTCGTCATTCTCACAATCATTGTTAAATTTGAGACCATTGCTACTGTCACTGTGCCAAACCATCTCGTTGAGGGTCAACCTCATTTTTGCTAACCCTCCACTTTACCTAACATGGTGTCTTCCAGGGTCTGGTTCCCTCTTAATAATATGTCCAAAGTATGAGAGATGAAGTCTCGTCATCTTGGCCTCCAAAGAGCATTCTGGCAATACTTCCTCTAAACAAACTTTCTCTAAATTTGTTTGTTCTTCTAGCAGTCCATGTTATTCTCAGTATTCTTCTCCAGTGCCATAACTCAAATGCATCCAATCTTCTCTGGTCTTCCTTATTCACTGTCCAACTTTTACATGCATATGAAGATATTGAAAATACCATGGATTGGGTCAGGTGCATCTTAGTTCTCAAGCTGACATCTTTGCCCTTGAACATTTTAAAGAGATCTTGTACAACAGATTTGCCTAATGCAATCCTTTGTTTGATTTCCTGACTGCTGCTTCCATGAGTGTTAACAGTGATCTAAGGAAAATGAATATTTACTTGGCTTCAATATTTTCAAAGTCCATCTTTACTCCCATATACTTGGGAATTAGTTTGGGCTAGTTATTAACCTACGAACAATTCTAAATTCTCAGTTGTATTCTATGTAGTGTGATGGAGAACTTGATTTGAAAACATTTTCAGAAATCTTGAGAATCAGTCAATGGCATGGAGGAATAAATGAATGAGCTGAGTAATGTTGGCAGGAGGAATGGATTCCAATCCAAAGACCCTCTGTGTGTAATAAGGAATCTCCTTTCGCCCTGTCCCTTGGTTCACTAGGAAACCAGAGGGGGTCCTGACATGAATATTTTACTGAGAGTGAATGTACCCACGGTGGAGCCATACTTGCTCTACAAGAGGCTTCAGAAAGTTCATGGGAAATGGAGTTAAAAGGTAATGGAATTTTCCCGCAAACTTTTTGAAGCCCCCTCATATTTGCTTCCTTGGCAATGACCCAGCATAGGGAAATAGATATTTCAGTATGTTATACTCCTTTTCCACCATTCATTTGCCTGTTTGCTGTACTGCGGTGGTTTGCATATTGCGGTGAGGCTGCAAGCTATGGCACTGATAATTCACATAGCAGCAGAGTCATCCATGGTGGACAGATTTCAGTGGAACTTTCAGAATAAGACAGACTTGAAAGGAAGGCCTGGTGATCTACTTCCGAAAATTAGTCAATTAAAAGTGATTGACTCTCAACCGAATATGTTAAAACTTTCTTGCTTTGAGCACATCACCGTGAGGGATCAACTGCTGGAAGAGGACATCATGTTTGGTGAAGTGGAGTCCTGGCAAAGTAAGGGGGAGACCATTGGGGAGATGGATTGGCATGGTCGCCACAATAGAGGACCTGAACGTGCCAGTGGTTGTGAGAATGACGCCGGGCTGGGTGACTTTTCCATGTGTTGTATGCAGGGTCACTGATATGGAGTTGATTTGATGGCAGTTAGCTGTCTCTATGCTCAACTCTAGGATCCATTGTACTCTTTTTTCTCCTTAACCAATGTGGAATAAGAAGAAAAAGAAATAGTTCACACCTGCTGAGTACTGGTGTGGCACTATCAGATAAACACTGGTAAACAGAAGGTCAGCAGTTCAAACCCTCCAGCCGCTCCTCAGAAACCCTATACAGGGTTGCTATGAGTTGGAATTCACTCAACTGCACTTAACACCAATACCAATTACTAAATATTTGCATGCATTATTTCATTTATTCTTTATTTTACAAACAAAGATGCTGAGACACACAAAAGTTTGGTGACTGCACCAAGTCCCACACCTGGTGAGGTGCACGGCTGGGGGTGGTCTGACCCCAAACATAGTGCCTCTTCCTTCAGTGCCTGCACTCAGAGCAGCTCCCAGGCAGTCCGGAGAGCTGGTATCCAGAAGCAAAGACACCTTTTCTATTCTACAGAAAAAAGAAACTATTACCAGGAAACGCTGAAGCCTCTGTGGCCTTCTTCAAGGGCAAGAATAAATGTGCTGAACTCTCCTTTACGGCACTAATGACTGGGCTGCTGAACAACACCATGGCTATTATCGTTTTCCAGGCTGACATTTGGCCGATTCTTTCTCTTTTTTACTCTCAGGCTAATAATTAAATTTAAATCCCTGACAGGACTTTAGCTATCACCCGAGGGGTTCTAGATTTCTTTACTATTACTTGCAAAGATTTCATTAAAAAAAAAAAAAAAGCCCTTTGAAACTATAAGTTACACTCAAGCCACAGCTTTAAAAAAATCTATTATCTTGTTGAGTCTTTTGAAGAACACATGCTGCTCACTCCCTCCTCACCTTGAGAGATCAACCATTTATTTTTTTTTTTTAAACTTCAATTTGAAGAATAAAAATACCCAGGAGGATCAGAGAAGGTAGACTCATAAAATGCTGTTTTCATCAGCACCTGGGTCACTACAGGCTATTTTGGATAGCATCTAGGGTCTTAGAATGTGTTGATTCAGGAATTGGATTTTGCTTTAGGCTTTTTGTTTTTCAAAATTTTTCTATAGCACAATAGATTACAAGCTGGGCTGCTAACTGCAAGGTCGGTAGTTCGAACCTACGAGGTGCTTGGGAGAAATATGAGCCTTTTTGTTTGCATAAAGATTTGTTGTTGTTATTGTTAAGTGCAGTCGAATTGGTTCCAATCCAGATCGACTCCGTATAGGATTTCTGAGGAACGGCCGGTGAGCTTGAACTGCCGACCTTCCATTCAAACAGACCTTGCAGTCCAATGCATTAACCCACAGAGCCACACCAGGACTCCCCATACAGATTTAGTCACAGAAACCCTATACAGGGTCGCTGAGTCGTAACCGACTTGATGGCACACAACCACTACCACATATAGTAAAAATAACAGTGGTGACTTTGCTCCTCCAGGGAAAAATAAAGAACTGCTCTTTATATAAGTTGATTAATCTGTTGATCTTGGTTGAGTTGTTTTGAACATGACTTTTGCAGGACAAGGTTTTGCATGGAGCTGTTTATCCAACTCTGCTATCCTTGGGAACCCACACCAGTCAGTGAGGGTTCTAGGGAAATACAGTGTGATGTGGATAATAGCTTTTCTCTGTGTATGGATATGTGACCCAACTCAGGCACTTTTAGGCCTTTGAAGAACAAGACAGAGAAGTATAAATAAGTAACAGGCCCAAGTGGGGATCCAAGAGCAAGGCTGGCCTCATTAGCACATCTGAAAGCCAACTAAGTAGCCTCCCTAGGAACCCAGCCACTCAGGAAAATCTGTTCTGAGACCTTTCCACCACTTTGTTATGAGTTGTTTAGAGAATTCTAGTTGATTTTGAAGAGACGGTTAAGAGTGTGGTCTATTAAGTCTAGAAAAAAATGTTCCTAACTGGAAACCTCAAGGATTTGAAATTTGGTGAAATATTTTGGCCAAGTGTTTAGCCAAATATGTTCCCAAAAGAATGCATTTTACACTGTTTAAGAGACATAAGTATAATACAAGAATATTCAATTTTTATTAAGTGTGGTACTTTTGGAAAAAAACAAAAAACAAAAAAATAAAACAGGAAATAATTGTTTGGGGATAATTTTAGACAAGATTCTTTTAGGCAATTAAATAACACCCCATAGTCTATCAGTTGGCTTAAACCACAAAGAAAGACACTATAATTTTTTGGCAATTTTCTTTGAACATACGACAGAAAAATTGATACTTGTTGATTCTCTCAAATAAGAGAGAAAGCAAAAAAAGTACTGCTAGAAAATCATAGCAATCTTTATTAAACAAAGGTATCAAAATTTGATGGTGTTATTCTCTACATAGCCTCTCAACTAGGTTTGAACACTTACGGAGGAGGTGTTTCTGTGTGTTTAACTCATCCCCAAAGAATTCCGGGCTCTCTGATTTACAACATATCAGAACATGAAGTTGGGGCACCTATGAGATACTCAAGTCATACTCCTCTTCAATGTGCTTTAATTTTGGGGAACAAAAAGAAGCCTGAAGGGGCTAAATCAAGTCTATGTGTAAGCTGGTAGGGGTAAGATTTCCCAATAAAATTCTCAAGGAACATCTCTTGCTAGCTTCAAAAAATGAGGTGCAACATCATGATGGAAATATTTCTTGGCCCAACCTTCCTGGTCTTCTTCTCACCAATGCAGTTTTCAATTTTTCTGAAAATTTCTTCATTAGAAGCCCCCATGAACATCCTGTATTTTTGGAGAAAATCTATCAAGGTAACTTCATTGAAATCCCAAAGCAGTCACCATAACCTTCTGATCTGACCTGTCTGCCTTGAATTGAATTGGCCCAGCAGATGCCCGTGGAAGCCCCTTTGTATTGTTTATGGCATTCCAATGAGATAATGGAGTCCTGGTGTGGTGTCTCAGGTCGGTTTGAACCACAAGGTTGGAGGTTCAAACTCACTAGCTGCTCTTCGGAAACCCTATACAGGGTCACTATGAGTCGGAACTGACTAAGATGGCACTTAACAAGATAAAGAAAATGAATTACTGAGAACTTGTCTGCAGCTATCCACTGATAACGGATATGTTTAAAACATATTTTATTTGAAATAAACCTATACATGTATGAACTGGAACCTTAATAGCAATAAATTTTGGCTTACCCTCACATAGCTAAAGATCTAAGGAAATACGGTCTCTGTTGAATCCATAATTAAAGTAAAATAAATACCTATTCAACTGTGAAAACTGAACATTTGGTAATACTGTAATAAAGCAAGGTCTCTTTGGGTAACAAAATATACGCAGTCTCCAACTTATAAAACAAGGTTTATGAGCATTACATTCTAAAAATGTCTGGTTGAGCCAGGGGTGGTAACTCCCTGGAGAGTGAGCAGCATGCCTAGACTGAGCTCCACATTCCCATCTTGTTGGGAGGTGGGAGCTGGAGGTGTGTCACCATAGGCACCGTCACCCACAGTGCTGGGAAGTCTGTTCATAGAAGTGAGGAGAGCAAAGGTGCCAGTCATTTCCAGTTGCCCTCTGAATGCCACAGATGTAGTCCCTATTGAATCTGCTACATATGATGAGTACATGTGTGAAATTTTACTTCACCTACAATACAGCTGAACTATATGCTGTTGTTGTTAAGTGTTGTTGAGTTGGTTCCAACCCATAACGGCCCTGTATAGGGTTTCCGAGGAGCAGCTGATAAGCTTGAACCGCCGACCTTGTGGTTCAAACTGACTTTATAGTCCAGAACATTAACCTACAGAACTATATAGCACATCTGAAACAAATACTGTTACCAAGAAGTCAAAACACCTTTGTGGACTGAACTAAAGAGTATATTGTAATTTATTTAAATGGGTGGAACTGGCAGCCTTTAGGTTAATAAGTAGTTCAATGCAAACCATTTGCTCCACCCAGGGGTCTTAGTAAGTAGAGCGCTTCAGTGGAGGGTTCAGTCCATGTTCTAACCAATATACTTAAGCTGCTCAGACAAATTACTTTATAAAGCCCCTTAGTTTATACTCCTACGTTGCTATTTTAACCTTGAGGAATTTTTCAGGCAATCAAAAGAAAATTTTGAAGCAAAACGATGTGTTTTTGTGAGAGGTATGCCTATGATGAAACAGGATGATTTTCAGTAGAGGGATTCCATGGTCTAGTATCATGCCGTGGAGTTGCAATATCTATCCCTCAAGAGAGCAATAACTAGTTTTGCAAATTCTGCAAAACGAGCATGCTATTTGGCATCAAAACTGTCATCAGCTTGCAGTTTTCAGACTTACATGATTTCTATCCAAATCAGGACTCCTTACCAAGTATTTCTCATCATCCATATCGGGTAAACATACCTGCTCTTCCACAATTGGCTATTATCAAACCTGAAAGTCAGCTGTTTTGTAGTCAAATGACTGAAGAGATCATTGCTAATTAAGTAAATAGGGTGTAAATTTTCATCACTAAGCCTAGTATTGCATCTATGCAATCTGTAGTGCTGTTTTCAATATTAAATAATCCATCCAATTATACATAACTTGAGATTTAATATTTTGTTTCCCTCTGATTTGATCGATGGGTACTTCAGCATGACACTTAACCAAAATAATGGCCGGGTGTTGAAGTCTAGCCAAGCCTCACTTGTAACACCAGACACTGCCAGTTTTGCTAAATCTCTTAGCTACTGGTGAGTTCCTGTCCTACGTGGAAGGTGTGACCATACTCCATTATTTGCTAGAGTTGTCAAACCTGAGACCTTGAGCTGGAAAGATGCCACATAAAAATGAAATCCAGTTGCATTCAGAGGCCTACACCTCCGTGGGAGCTCTAATCAGGTGGAGTACAGCTCTGTGCGCCACAAAGCAGTTTTCAGTGCAGGAGGTAGGCCATTAAATGCTTTCTGAACTCCATTAGTTACTCCTGCTGAGATTGAAAAAGTCCTCACAAATGCATAAAAATTAAATTGCCTATGAGGTAAAGAATGAGATGGTATTTTGCTGCCAAGTATTATTTTCCATTCAAATGGTCTACAATCACACATATCATGCCAGAATCATAGAGTATATACCTGTAAGGCACGCAGCCATGGCTGAGTCCTGTGCAGAAATCCTAAGGACACCATCATCTGGTAATGGTCTACTGATTTTGCTCTAGGTGTCCTCCTACTCTGACGTTGTGTATGTGCTTCAGTGGGAGCCGAGAACTTCCATTCTAGGATAGATACAGGGGGCTAGCTGGCTCAATGGGAGACTCAGGAATGTGTGGCCTGGGATTGGGTGAGGCATGATACCGGGCCTGATCAGAGCACTGAAGAGCAATCTTGGGCTACAGAGGACAATGGATATCAACTTTCTCTCTCCTCTATTTACCCGGAATCTGGAAGAAGGTGGGCCTGGGTGTGCAGATGGCTGTTTTGCCATTAAACGTAACCTCTGAAGGGAGGCAACATGCAGAACAAAGCTGAAAGCCTACAAGAACTCTGGTTCCATATGGGACTGTTGTGAATCCTAGAATCCAGTCTTACACTGAATTGTCATTACATGGGTCAATAAATTCCCCCACTTGTTTCTTTTAAGCTATCTTTCACATGCAATTAAAAAAAACCACCCAACCATAATAGATAATTTATTCTACAGATGAGGATGGCCACTGAGACACTGTGTAGTTTGAGTTCTTCTGCTAGTTACATGAACAGCCAGGAATAGAACCCAGGTATTTTACTTTTTCATATAATGTTTCACTCTATCATGGGAAAAATTAGTAAAACAAGTAATATGGCACACAATGTTGTTGTTGTTATATGTCGTCGAGTTGGTTCCGACCCATAGCGATCCTGAACAGGGTTTCCGAAGCTGTAAATCTTTACGGGAGCAGAAAGCCTCCTTTCTCCCACGGAGCAGCTGGTAGTTTCGAACAGCTGACCTTACGGTTCACAGCCCAATTCGTAACCACTACGCTATCAGAGATCCTTACGGAACACAATGGACTTATTTAAATTTTCAACTAAAATTCTGCTTCAATTAAGTTTACTTATTGGGGAGACATTATGCTTTAAAAAAAAAAGGGTTTATAAACTTGATACTTTAAGTTACTCTGTGTCATTCCTGAGAACGTGCACTTGAAAACATTTAGAAATTAAATTTCTAGGAACTGGCTTTTTAAAAAAAGGGTTTAGAAATGGAATATTTTAAGTCACTCTGCGTGGTTGGTTACCTACAATATGGACAACTTGAATAATATGTAATAAATTAAATTTCTTAGAAATCTGCTTGTGGTCTGCTGTAGCAGCAACAGACATAACCCAAGAATATAGCTTAAAATGTTTTATTAAGTATATATAATAATACAGGGTAATATTTACAAAGTTATATAGTTTAAATTAAAAAGTATCTTGGCAAAGATTGCAGATATTCAAAGCTTCAAACAGTGATAAATTGATTTAATACATAAAAAAAAAAAAAAGGTAATACAGCTGTAAAACAACTTTGGTCTTTAAATCACTGCAAAAAATGGCTACAGACAAATAGCACACCTTTAATTGCTATGCAAAGGAACCCCCAAGGGAGGATCTTGCAAGTAGCAACACTGGAGTTTTATTTAGAATGGTTAATGGATATTTATATGATGTGGGATCCAATTTCAACAATGGCTTTTTGAAAATAATGTTCTGTTTAATAAAAACAAAAAATGTTTTCCTCTCTTTCACCAACCATGAAAAGACTTTTAAGAGTCCACTGATACTGCCCTTATCAATAAGAATTTTGCTTTTTTTCAAGACGACCATCTCTATGGGAAAGCCGATCTCATACAATCAAGATTAGAGTCCTCTAAAGCCAAAGAGAGAAAAACTTTCCATTCACTGCTCAGCTCTTAACAGTTACCTGGGTTAGTTCTATTTGCCAGTGACAATGATTTAACAAAGGACTCCAGTGGGCAATGGTTGTTAGTGATTTTGCAAGTATGACACATGGAAAAAAGTAATGTTGTTAAATTCTCAATCAAATGAAACACAATAAAAGATAAAGGGCTGCCCAACAATCATTTCTCCAGTTTCCAATAGCAGACAAAGAAGTATGTATTTCCATACATACAGCACAGATCTCTATTTTTGAATATCTATCCACCTTGGGACAAAAGAAATCTACAAGGTGATTCAGAGCTTAATTCTTATTGATAATATATGGAAGTAAACTTACCACTTTTGGAGCTTCATTAACTCAAAGCACAATTTGGTTGGTCATTTACTAAATGGATTACAGCATTCTGAAAAGAACAATACTCCCTATTATGGATAGACCCACTGATTTAATTCTGAAATTATCAAGAATTTAAACAGAACAGACCTGGAATGTCCAGGTGAAAAATCACCACCTTTTAAGGTTTTCAGAATATGTGAAATTTGTCAAAACAAATAAACAAATAAAAAGCTCTCTAGCTCACCCGATAAAAAATTGTGGGACATCTACACATAGCCAATTCTCAAATCATCAAACTTATGGACTGAGCACTGTGGGAGAAAGACAAAAGGAAGGAAAAGTTTTTACTGTGGAAAGAATCTTAAAATTGACGGAGAGAAAACAAATGGAAAAAACAACAGAGCGATGCAGAAATACATTCAGTACTAGGTAGTTAAGGAGGAGATGAAAGAGGGAGCCAGACAGGAACAGACTACAAAGGAAAGCCAGGGAGGTCTGGAGTAGAATGTTTTGAAGGGGAGTAAAATTTGGATTTAACCAAAAAGCAGTAAAGGTTGTTACAGAAAAGTGACAAATGATATCACTCTGAGAATGTACAATAAAGCAAACTGAATGAAAGAGTCAATAGTAAATATTGGAATTGGTGAGTAAAAAAAGATAAGTGATGCACAAAATATTGTTAGCAATTTTAATTTGGTGTGTGACAGAAAATTGGGAGCCATTTCAAGCCTGATTTAAAAAGTATGAACTGGCCCAAAGTGGCCCCAACAAGATGGTTCCTGCTGCTTTGGTCTCTTTTCCAGAGAAGCTGAAACCCCAGAAGAGTTCATTTCATCTGGCATTTTGCCTGCTGCCTTCTGACGGCATGATTTAGGGCAGTGAATGCCTCTAAAGACAGGGAGCACTAACAGAACATTCCCAAGTCTAAACCCCAAATAAATGGGTTGAATTCATATTAAAAAGTACAACTTCAGTTTATAAAACATTTCACTAAGAAGATTTTCATACTTTTGTTCCTAATTGAGACTAGGAATTTGCCTTATTTTTCCTCATATCATCAAAACTGATTTCCAAAGTAACAAACTCCACTGGTAAACATAAATGTTTTCAGAAGGAAAGTGAGCAACAAGAGCCATCAGATTTACATAAGGGACTACACAGCTCCTCCACGTGTGCTATTACTTTTGGGTAGCAACACAATTAGGAAAGAAAGGTAATTTTTCTTTTTCTCAAGAAGAGCTGCCTTCATCGAGTGTTCAGGTTTTTGAGAGGTTCAGGTTTTTGATCATTAAATTCAGGTTTGTCATAGACAAACTCATTGGTCCCAACATGAAATATGACAATTAATTTGGCATTAAGGAGGCACATGGGAACATTCAGTGGGCTATGAAATATCTATTATTAATGGAACTACAAACATGAATATATTATTATTATACAAACTGGAAGAATTACTAGTATTTTAAGAGGGTATTGGTGAGCAGTCAAAAAGCTTGGCAAATTACTTAGATTTTAAAGTTTTAAGTGATCAGATGTTCGAATCAAATGTAATTCCACCCAACAGAGATCTTTTTCTTTTGAAATATTTTTTACTAAAAGCATGAAATTCACATTTGCTCTCCTGTAGGCACCCCACTTTTGTCCATACAGAAGATGCATGTGTGTCTATCCTTACACACGCACATACAAACACACACTCACAAACGAGGTAAAAAACGAGTGCTAATAATCTAAAAGTACTCCAGGCAATCACAACTGCCAGAACATTAATTTTCTTCTAGCTGGGGTAGGAAATGTGGGAGTTTTGCATTAACTTTCAATCTTTAGAGTAAGGGAGTACGAGGCAGGACTACAGAAGGGAGGTGATGAGTGTTTGTCATGCAACATAGATACAACAGTAAGAAAACCACCCTTGCAAGGGCCGGCATGGGGGCCTGGTGGTGGCACACATAATGTTGCCATGCAGGAGACGTAGAGTTCAAATTTCAATCTTGGCTTTTCAGAAAAGAAGTGAAGAAACACTGTAGATTTTGCCTTCAAATCAGAGGAAGGGAATACATATGTTACAACCATAGCTATTTTTACTGAAAAGTGTGAACACAGTGCTCTGAGAACAAGGCTGGCTCCTTTCTGCAACTGATGCTATCGTGTCACTGGACCACCTTCAAAGAGGACAAAAGATGCCACATCTTATACAGCAAAAGCAAATAACAGTGGGACAAGACTGACTTTATAGAGTTGTGAGAATAAAAGAACAACACAGCCATCAATAACATTACCCAACATCTGGGAAGGCTCTGTTATATTGTATGCTGAAAGAGGAATGAATGTATGAATGGCAACCCCCAAGAATGTAGACCACAATTTCCATCGGTATCACATTACACACAGTGGAAAATAAGGTGTTCCCATTCAACGATCCAAGAGAGGCAGACATATAATTCAGCCAATACCGTATCTGCCAAAGCGGCTGTGGAGCTGAAGTTCAAGGCATGTCATTGTTTTTTACACAGATTCTTAGCTAGTCACCAGGTCAGTGTTGGGTAATTTTCAAATTAAGACACCGATTTCAATAGGGGTCTTAGTGTTAAGAGATCCTAGGATCATAACGGTGTCATTCTTGGAAGTTGCCTCTTCTAGTTTGCCCCTAACTGAATAAAACTAACAACAACAACAACAAAAAACCAGGTATCTCAATTGGGCACACAACACATATCATAATTCTTTTATTAACTAAGTTACAGCTTTTTGAAAAAAAGAACACAACAAAACAAAAACCAACAACTTAACTGTAACAATCATGTAAAGGTCAATGATTAATTTCCCCCACAGATTAAGACCAGTTTTTTTTCTTATACACTTCGTCCCAACAGTGAATCAAGGCCATGGTGCTTGGTCACAAGTGTATTCCTCAAGTTAGACTACTCTCCACATCACCATCCATCATTCCACTTCAGTTATTCTGGAAAATTGTAAAATGAACACGTAATCATTACTCATGTCTATTTTCCATATAGTAATAAGTTGATAGTTTTTTTTTTTTTTTTTTAATTGGGTATTGTAACGGAGCTCTGGTAGTGTAGTAGTTACGAATCGGGCTGTGAACCACAAGGTCAACAGTTCGAAACTACCAGCTGCTCCGCGGGAGAAAGATGAGGCGTTCTGCTCCCGTAAAGATTTACAGGGTTGCTATGGGTTGGAACCGACTCGACAGCACTTAACAACAACATTGTTTCAGATATACAGTATCTAAAAATAAAGAAAAATATATTCAACTTATATCTGCGAAGGGCAGAAGCATAAATCAGGCAAATCATTCATGTTTTTCGTTCCAGTTAAGTAAAAGGCCAATACCAAATGAAAATTAAAATCAACAGTTTGATAATCTCCTTTTGTTGGGTTAGTGAGTAAAAGCCAAGAGATGTTTTCCCAAGTAAAATATATTGATTCTAGAATAATGTTACATTCACTTTAGAATTATCATATCATTTATTCATTGTAAATGAAGCAAACATATGATCGGGTCCACATGAAAAAGGAAATGGCACTATGGACTTTAGGAAATATCTCAACTCTCATTCACTGACAAGGTGTACACAATGTGAGCACCGAGCAGCTGAAAGAACTCATCGGAGAGACATTTTAAAAAATCCACTTCTGATGGGCTAAGTAATAGCAATTAAGAGAACTTCAAAAGTCATCGTACATTTCATGTGCTATTAATTTTGAAAGCAAAACTGCTTTACAGTATTTCTAGATAAAGTGCTTAAAAAGGGGAGATTATCAAAGGAAGAAGCACTGCTTTTCTGAAATGGAGGAAAAGGGTTTAGTTTCTTCATATAACTATACAAGAATGAATGATACCACAGCAAGAAAAGAACAAAGAAATTTTTAAAAAAAGAACACCAGAATGTAAACATGGGCAGACCATGCCACAATTGCAGGTATGAGTGCTCTTTTGAATCTTTATTCCTGTTATTTACCTTTGTTTTAATTTGAGAATGATGACTTGTATAACTAAACATGCATTTCTGTAGTAAAGGCTGTGACATGACCCTCATAAGCAGGAACGTTCTATGATTTCTTGTTGAACATAAGCCTAGATACTGTTATAAAATTAATCCACCAACACGTTAACAAAGTGTTTTTAATCTTCTGCAAAAACTGTTTGCATTCAGACGAACAGAGCCTTCTATGTTAAATGTAACACTTGCCTATGGAGGTGAGCAGTTAGGTCACAGACTTTAAGACAGTATACTAAAAGTTGATCATTTAAAGTATAAAGATCTCAAGAAATTTTTGATAAGGCAAAAACATAAGCATAATTATTAAAATGTTAACAGCATTGAAGAAGCTCAGCATGTTAATGTAAAATCAAAATGAGAGCTTGCAGCATTCAAAATTTTAGACTTACAGATCTTTAACTAATAATAAATATGTCCTTCAAATATTCAATAAAGGTTAAAAGTTATCATTAGTTCAGAGTTCAAAATACAGAACTAAAATATTTCAAAAGGTTCGAACTAAATTCCTGCTTAGAAAAGCAGAGCTACTATGTCCCCATGGATTACACACAACAAAGACACCAACACAAATGAAAGAAACTGTCAAAGTGATAAAGATTTTTGCCATATTTACATATATGCCTAAAAATACATTTTAAATTACTATTATAAGACAGTGACTCTCTGCTGAGAGCTATATGAAGAATCTGATCAGTGACATCCTATAACTTTATATTCCCAGTTTTATAATTTTTTAAATGAAGTAGGTTTAAATTTTATAAATCAAGAAATTTGGGACCTTTATAATTTGACAGTGTCTCATTGAGTTAAAACCATAAATAAAGGCCATGCTTTCTATAAGCTATTTTATTTCTTTTGAATACCTATATTTAACCAATCTAAAATTATAGGTGCATTTTATACTTACCATCATTCATCATTCCTTTTGATTCTTTAAATGCTAAGAATTAGTGACAAGCCAAGCAAGCAGTTAGTATGATTCCATAATTAGAAATCAGTTCGAAATAAACAAATATGAAGTAATACCATGCTAAATGCTCTACAACTATGTGCTCAAATTAATTTAAAGGCTCTCTTTTTATTATGGCGAGCCATACCCATAGCCATTTTTCAAAGAAAATATATTCAATTGAAAATATAGATCTAGATTTAGGAAGAAAAAGAGAAGGTTTTGTCTCATTCCTTGGTGACACTGCGTATCTTTCTGTAATTTATAAAACAGAAATTAAAATTACTTGATATTATTCTCATCTTGGAAAATCTAAAAAGGGAATGGTACTCTATCCGAATATGTGGCTGAAGCAAAACACAGAACTGAGCATTTTTCCAACAGGTGAGAATATTACAATGTTCTTAATTCTTGATGAATAAACAGGAAAAGAGAGTTTGAGACAAGAGAAGAAATGAGGTTTCTTCCCAAGGCATGGATGGTATTTTTAAACTCCTTTGGGAATGAGTTCAAATAATGATCTAGTGATGGGTCAAGAATATATAAATTTGTAATAACCACGTACCATTAAGGGGTTCCTCTACAGCTTTCTGGAAAATATTTAAAATATATTTACATAAAAATAGTACTTACATAATTTTTTTAAATACTAAAATTTATGTACACTTAACATTTAAACTACAGTCGCCCTCCATATCTGCGGTTCCACAATCTTGGAAACAACTGAGGTTTGAAAATATTAGGAGTGAGGGTGGGGGAAGCAATTAGGTGGTCAAAGCAATCCCTCAAAGGTGAAGCAAAGAGCCTAAAATGCTATTTACATTGTACTAGGTATTACAAGTAGTCTAGAGATGATTCACGTATTGTGGAGAATGTGTGTAGGTTATATACAAATACTGCCAGTTTACATAAAGAACTTGAACTATCCACAATTTTGGTATCTGCAGGTGGTCCTAGAGCCAATCCCCCACAGATACTGAGGGACGACTTACAGTAAGCTGTGAGTTCTACAGTCTGAAAATGCACTTAGGCAGTAAATCAGGGTTAAAGCAAAGCTTGCCAAGATTAGTTAACTAAGTTAACATATCCTAACTCTAAAACACTGTTATAGGCAAACGTAAAGAAAACAACAGAATAAACAATACAGGTAAACAAAGAGATGGGAGCAAAGCAATCATTTTCAAGCCATGCAAATTAACTCTGAAACACACAAACAAAATCTGTTAAAAATTAAAGTTCCAAAGGATAGATTATGTCTAACAGAAGTACTATTAAAAATGTTGAATGTTACTGATGTAGACGTGATACCAATCTTTTTTTTTTTTTTTTTAATTAACACCTGTAGTTGAGATGAACCCGCAGGCTCCAATGTCTTTGGGTATGTTATATTGAAGCTTATCAGATTTGGGAGCATCTGTATCCCCTTCCTGTCACAGATAGGAGTCTCGCTTCAGCATTTCAGATGAAGCAAACACACTCTTATGTTTGTCAAATTGCAATTTATAAACTTTTTTTTCTTTCTTCACTCACAATGCCCCCCAACCTAAATTTGGTCCTTTTCCTGGAATTTTCTCAGATAGCTTACAAAGGTATTTAAGACATAGTGAAACATGGGGCACAGTTACTATGGAAGAAAAACATTTACAAAAATAGGGAAAAGGAGGGAATGAATCAAAATTCAGAAAAGGTATTTTACAGCAATGTTTACAATTATTTTATAGGTCATTTGTTGTTGTTGTTAAGTGCCATGGAGTCGGTTCTGACTCATAGTGACCCTGTACAGGGTTTCTAAGGCTGTAAATCTTTACGGGAGCAGAAAGCCTCATCTTTCTTCCATGGAACTGCTGGTAGTTTCAAACTGCTGACCTTGCGGTTTGCAACCCAATTTGTAAGCACTATGCTACCAGAGCTCCTTTTATAGATCATAGGTTTTTAATATTTACAGTGATTTTATAATTTATAGATGATAATTTTTAATGAAATAAATTTCATATAAATTTATCTCCCTTCCTCTTAAGTCTAAGATTATCATTCTGGGTATGTACCTCAGATGTGCAACAGGTCCAACAGGTGAGACAAATATACTGGAATCACCTCCCTTCTGGTCACAGAGATAAGAACTATTCTCCCTACACAAGAAACTTTCCAGTTCTGGGTGTGATAAGGCAGCACAATTTCAATGAATCATGTCTTCCCTTCCAATGCTACTAAAGCAATCAAACACAGGATTTTAGTATTGAATTGGATTTATTCATGCAAACATCAACATTCTCTTAACTTGATGTATACTAAACAGAAAGCAGAAGGACTCGATGATCTCAACTACCAATCCTCGGTCTAGATCAGCAAGTATCTCTACCAAAGCACTAATGAAACATGAACTTACCCTAGGCGGTTGTATAGTCTTCTGATTGGAAGCTGATACAATTAAGAAAAAAAGAAAAAAGAATTTTATAAACGAAAATTAAGGCAATAAATATAGTACTTAAATTAAAAATAAACTGCTCAGGGCTAAAACTACTGGAACCAAAGTTCCAGCTTTGACAGTCTATTACAAAATACAGAACTTACTTGATTTCTAGTTTTCAAAGTGCCAGATATCTAACAAACTAAAGAAAATATTCAGACCTCTCTGGGCTTAAAGAATTATTGTTGGCAGTTAGTCATAGTCACAATTAAGTCCTTCTCTATCTACTCCTCAATTTTGTGAGTTACCCTTTGCACTGCTTCTGACCGAACTGGTTAATAAAGACAAAGAAGTATGGGACATGAAAAAAATGGGGGGGGGGGGGAAGGGAAAAAGAAAACAACTACTCTAGTTAGTTAGGGATGAAGAAGAGATAATTACTTTATCAAAAGCATGTGAGGAGGCCTCACAGTGAAAGTCTGTCCTAAATACAGAATTAAGAGTGCTAAAGATACAAAAGCATCAGCCAGCAACAGTCTTTGAATCCTTTAGTGATGCTGCTGGCTAAAGCAGTCTATACGACCAGATCCTGGATTGGATGATAACACTGAGTGGATCAAGGCAGGACTCAGGGGACTGTTTCTGTTCCTATGTTTTTTATGTACCACCACCTCCCCAACGCCTTTCCCAATCAACTTTCCCAAGCTGACAGACTTCAGGTGGGTTCTGCAAGGGCAACCCATCTATGGACTAACCAGAAGATATAAGGCGTTCTCAGAGAAAATGGCACTGACAGACCTGACAAAATTCTGAAAGGAATAGGAGACAATTGGAATGTTGGTAATGGGTTGGGAAGATAAGAAAGAGGCAGACATGGCAGACAAGCTCAAAGTTTAGAGTTATGGGTAAGAAAAACCAATGAATTGGATAGAAAATAAGAACCTAAAGGAGAGAGTGAGCTAGCTGGCTAGTAGGTAAAGAAACAAAACTAGAGGAACTAAATAACTATAATGGACAAAATGGCATCGAGTCTTGTTGCTGAGAGAACAACATACCGACTCAAATCCTGATGTAGTGGATATTTCAAGTTCTTAAGCTACATACTCCTCTACCCTCTATGAGGCACAACTATGCATCCGCTCAGGGAATTTCTGTCTCTGTTACTACCAATGTGTGGCTTTAAAAGAGCCTTCCTAATTGGAGGCAAGGTGGGGCTAGGGAGGAGTTTGAGTCTTGCAACCAAAGGCAATCTCTTTTTAAAGCTGTTGTTGTTGTTACGTGTCTATTTAAATTAAACTTATTTTGGAGTAAAATAAGGTGGCAATAATGAAGCCCAAATAATGAAGCCCTAAATTCAGCAGAGAGTCCAGATGTGGTGCTACAGTATAAGCACTGGACTGCTAACTGCAAGGTTGGTAGTTCAAGGTCGGCTTCTCCTTAGAAACCCTTTACAGGGTCACTGTGAGTCAGAACTAACTCAAAAGCACTTAATAACAACAACAAAGTTCAGCAGCTTCCCAAGTAGACCAAGTAGAATTAAGGAACTTTATTAGCGACCACCATGCTTCCTACTGGAATCCTGGTATGTCACTGTAGGAGAAGTATTAGAGAGCTAAGCACAGGTTGGGGTTCAAACCCATCAACTGCTCCTTGGAAACCCTATACAGAGCTGCTAAGAGTCTTAACCGACTTAATAGCACTTTACAACAACAAGCCATTTATAATAAGCACTGGACTACTAACCGCAAGGCTGGTGGTTCAAACCCACCAGCTGTTCCTTGGTATACAGGGTTGTTATGTGTGGATTCTGACTCCATCGCACTTAACAGCTACATGACTGTTACATGTAAATTCAACTCACTTCAATAAAACCATGCCCCATATCCATGCTCTATGGGATTGTTGTTGTTGTTCTTGCTGGGGTGCCACAGAGTCGATTCTGACTCACAGAGACCCTGTATAGTGTTTCCAAGGCTGTAAGCCTTTACGGGAGCAGAAAGCCACATCTTTCTCCCAAGGAGTGGCTGGTGGACTCAAATCTTGCAGTTAGCATTCCAACATTTCTATATAATAGTGATAACGCACTGTGCTACCAGAGCTCCTTGTTATTGTTGTTGTTAA